TGGCCGCTGCAAGTTCTGTGGCCAATCTCTCTCTATCATAATTTGCTGAGCTCAACTGAGACTGGAACTCCTCGATTTTCTTGGCTTGTACCAAGGCTTTCACTTTTAAGGTTTGAAGTTGGCCTTCGGCCGAAGCCAGTTGAGTTCGGGCAGTTTCCTTTTCTGAGGCGAGGCGATCCATGTTCTTCTTCCACTCCTCAGCCTCCGATTTCACTACTTCCACTTCAACACAAAGCTGCCTAATCACATCAAACTTTTGCTCGACCTGCGGGACCGAACTATTAGCCATCAACCTGAGTCAATATCATTAAATTCAAAGATTCTTTGTACCTTCTCGGCCAACTCAGCTTGTTCTTTCCGAGATGCTTCCAGCTCGTCCCGAAGTCCTTTTTACTTCTCCTTCTATCTGCTCACTGAAAAGCTTTAAGGCATCCCTCTCCTCAGTAAGCTTTCGAACTTCGGCCTCATACCGGCTCAGCTCTCCTTGGGATTGGGAAAATTCCTCGTGATGAAGCACAGAAGCCTACAAAAATAAGAAGGGATTATACAAGGAAAGGAAAATACAAGTATGAAAATTGGCAAAGAAAGTATGAACTAACCCGATTCAGGGCCTGTTGGGCTTCGTTAAATAGGCAAGATGCTCCCACCTCGCTCGAGCTCTTCTTCGAATCCTCCAAGTCACTCGGACCGCTAACATCTTCTACCCCGATAAAATAACCACGGAAAGGATCCTCCCCTCCGTGGCCCCCTTCCCCGTGACAAGTCTCTATAGCTTAAGTGTCACGTATCATCGATTGGGAAAATGAAGGGAAAAAAGGGGAATCCCCGATCTCTATCACCCCGAGTAGGTCTTTTGGGGCACCACCTCTGTCTTCGGGAGCCCCAAGCGCATTTTGTGCACCGACATTCACTGCCTCTTCGACAGTGTCTTTACCCCGAGGTAAAACATTCTCGGTCTCCCTCGGCTCGGGAACATGGGTCGAAGTCCCCTCCTCGACCTCATCAAGCCTGGTCGGAGCAGTATCAACTCCCATCGATACCGAAGGATTCTGAGTATCGGTGCTAGCCCGGGCACGAGCCAACAACCCGAAATCACTTTCTTCTTCTTCTTCTTCTTCTTCTTCTTCTTCTTCTTCTATGTCCCTTTGACTTAGGACCGACTCCATAGTCAAAGGGATTACGTTCACCTTGGGTTTACGAGCCACTCTCTTTTTGGTTTTTGACCCTCGAAGTCCGAGGCCCTTTTTCTCTTAACCACCTTCTCCGGTTTTGAGATAGGCGGTAGAATTTCTTCATCACCTGATGGGGGTCTCATAACCGCATCTTTTCCAAGACCTACAAAGAAAGGAAAGTAAGTAAAACTTATGCCCGAAAAAATACTTGAACAGATCGGTGAGCTAAGAGAAAGGTTTACCATGGGTATGATCCTCCCACCGGCTCTTCGACAAATCGCGCCATGCGCGCTCGGCATATGTTGACGCAGAAACCAGGCTCCTGACCCAGTTCTCGAGATGGAGAACCGCGCCCGGCATCCGAGCAACGACTGTATCAAGAAAGGCACTGATAAGAAAAGGTGAAGAAGTAAAAATAACAAAAGCTAAAAATGGAATCACACTTACAATTCATATTCCATTTCTCGAAAAATGGCATACTCTCAGCCGGGATTAAGTCTGAGTTCTTCAATCGAACAAACCGACCCATCCAACCCCGATCTTTGTCTTCATCTATGCTCGAGGTGAACGCCTTGGTGGCCAAGCGTTGAAGCTTTATCAGCCCACCTCGGTAAAGACGAGGGCTGTATAATCTTACGAGGTGGTCGATGGTAAAAGGAAGCCCGTCGATTTTGCTCACAAAGAAACGGAGCTGTATTACAATCCTCCAGAAAGAAGGATGTATTTGGCCGAGGGTCACTTGGTACTTTTTGTAGAAGTCGATGATGATAGAATCGAGGGGACCCAGCATGAAAGGATAAGTATAAACACTTAAGTACCCTTCCACATGGGTAGTGATCGCTTCCTCCGGTGCCGGTATCACGACCTCTTTGTTCTCCCAATCACAATCTTTCTTCACCAAATCAATAAGGCTTTGGGGTATCGAGCATATGTATCTCGATACCGACTCACATTGACCCGTAGCCGATGAAAGTTTCTCTACCTTAAAGTCAGAATGGATAACACATCCCCCAGGAACGAGTTCTTCGAGGCGTGGCTCCACCACCGGTTTCTCACCGACCGGCCGAGTTGAGGAAGCAGCCTCTTTCTGAGGAACAGTTTTAGATATCTTAGCCATTTAAATTTTCAAGAACAAAGAAGATGAGAAATTGAAATATTTTGGTGTTTGGCAAAGAACAAGCAAAGAAATTTTTAAAGCTGGAAATAGAGAACTTTGGAGAAGGCGAAGAACTGTGAAGGTTGGAATGAGAAGAGTTGAAGGTAAAAGGTTTAAAATAATGAAGAAGGGGGGCTATTTATAGATTTTTCAATGACGGTTCAAAATCGGCAGTGGCCGACCATCGTCTGATGCGTATTTAATGCCTTGATAACTGGACCGACGGGACATTTGTCACATACGTCATAATCGGGCTCGATGCAGATGTCAGTATGTACCTAGTCAAAAGTTGAAAAATCATATCGTTTCTCGCCACATTCTTTCCGAGAAACGTGGGGACTATTTGTATACGGTCAAAATCGAGTTTGCCCTTCGTATAATCACTCAAGATTGGAACATAATGGACTGAGGGTCGTCATTATGATATCAAGATATGATGTGAAGCCGGGTTATCGAGCTCAAGACCCAGACCGATCAATACCGAGATCCAGTCAGTATTGAGCTCGAGCCAATACCAAGCTCGAGTCATTATCAAGCCCGAGTCAATATCGAGCTCGAGTCAATACCGAGCTCGAGTCAATATCGAATATCAGGCTCGAGTTAATATCGAACTATTATGTGAAGTGGTATTATCAAGTTCGAGATCTAGAGACCGATCAATACCAAGAACGGTCAAGATCGAGCTAAGGGACAAAAGGCCGTTATAGCCGCACTGGGGGAAAGAATCTCAGCGGGAATTAAGAAAAAACTATTTAACTAATCTATCATGGGATCCCCACTATGTATTTTTAATAATATTCAAAGTAGGATTCCTCTACTATATTAAGAGTGACTATCATTTCTATAGAGTGGACATTGAACATGCAGACATCAATAAACTCTCACATTTCAGAGATTATTGAGATTTACACGCATATAGTAAATATTATCTTTTTGGGGCTTTTTACATTGGTTCATCTTGTTCATTTATAAATCATTCTCTACTCAATTTGAGTTTGTATTTCATTCATTTTTTACAGTCAATATTCGATATATTTCTACTTATTTTTTTATTTTGTACCAAGTTATTTCACATATTCTTAGAACTACGTATAAATTCAACTCTATCCATTTTTCGGGTAAATAAATATCTGTACCGAAAAGATCAGACCTCGAAAGGCACATCACACCTATCCTTATCATTAGAAGTTTGACTATTTTGTAGTAGCTAGTGGCGGCAAAGGTGAATTGAAAACGGGTTGCGCAAATGTATTTTATTACACAAAATTGTGTACTCCACATTTTAATTTACATGGCGTGGTTTTGTTTAGCAAGATACTTAAGATAAAAGAAAGATTTTGATATTGTAATTTTAAATATACCATAATTATTATGTGACTAACTTTTGATGTTGTAATTTTAAATAAACCATATTTATTATGTGAAAAATTTCTCATTAAGAATATAATAAAAAATTTAAAAAGTTCAACTATTTAAAATATAAAAATATTGTTTTTGAAACGAATTAATAAAAAAATCAAATAAAGTGAAATAGAGGGATTTCAATAACTAGAAGATTCACTAATACGTGACATGTCCCGAACAATATCATCTTTCACGACATTATTTTTCTCATTAATCATGTAAATTTGGCCTATAAAGTTCAATTTAGTTTTAAAATATGAAATTATCGGTAATTGTACATGATTAACACGCATGATAAAATACATACATTACTGACATAATTTTGTCTTTGTTTTTGGAATTTAATCTTAATGTTCAATTTGATCAATCCGATGAAATACTTCCTCTGACCCAACATTATCCATAGCAGGGCTCATCATGTTAATCGTCGGCCCACAAGGCCCATTTAATTGAAATTTTGGCCCACCTCTCTAAAGAAATCGAATCTTGATGGTCTTTTTTTCTTCACGTATACAATTCCATTGACTCATAAGTGTCAACTTTGTTACTTTTTTTTTCCTGATTAGTTGAGTTAGGATATAAAACAAACAAGGATTAAATTTTTATTTCCCTCGTTGGAAAGGAAGTGATTCTTTTTCATAAAGTTCCATTTATAAAAAGAATAATATATTATTTTCCTCCATTTTTTCCCCTCGATTTTTCATTCATGCCCTTACTCAAAAAACCCAACAGTAGTAAGTTTCAAGATAGGTGGCATTAGATCCTCAATAAAAACCGCTAGAAATAGACATGAAGTACACGACATTTGTTTCCTATATCTGTCCTTTAAGTCATATTCATCCCTTTTCTAATCCAAGCTCACTCATATTTTCAAGTTAGAAACGGGTTAATTTGTTTCTAATTCATATTGTAAATGAACTTGTTAAATACGATCTTATATTGGAGTATTAGCTTGGTCTATATTATTTGCTTCTTTGTTGTATAAACTCAAAGAATTGCATATAGGATTTAACTTATATGAGTATGACACTACAAATAATCTATACACTATTATTATATTTTAACATGTTATAACAAGTTTCTTATACCTTACTGTCTAGTTCATCAAAAAATCACCCAAAGAATATCTACATGTAAACTTTCTTAAAATGTGAGATTTGTGATCTTGAAAATAAGATAAGTTACTATATATGAAAGTTACGTACCTACTGTTGCAAATCACCTTGATCTAATAACATATTTATATTATAACCTATCGGTGCACAAAATTAAAATTAAACATCATATAGTATCATCCCATTTTACACGAGTATAACTTTTAATAATACAAGAACTTTATCTATCAAATCACCAAGAGATAATTGTGATAGATATTGGCAATGGCAGTGGGACTGTCTTACACATTTATTACATGGGTGCCGGAGCACAATCAAAATCAATATTCAGAAGGAGGAGGAGCTGCAGCAGAAACTGGACCAGCAGCATAAACTGGAGCCTTAGCAGCAGCACCAGAGCTCAGAAGTTGAGACGTTCCATGGTGTGCACGAGTTTTCTGCGACAAACATAGTCCATGCAAAGATATTCCTGCAAGTATTTCAGTTTTTAGGATAAGAAAAGCTAAGACTTTTGGCTAGATTAATGTATCTTATAAAGTATCAATACAAGAAAGAGATAAAACATAGTTTTATTAAATTAGAAGAAAAGGAGAAAGCAAATTGTAAATAATTTTTACATTATCGGTGTTGTAGCAAGTTGTCAACTTTATTTTTCCACGTGGTTGGTTCCAATAATTATGGACAGTTACCTCTAATTATCGACATGATAGTGTAAAAATTCTAATACATTTTTTATCTGTATATATAAGTTTAACTACTAAAAATGTCCATTGAACTAACAAACACGAAAAATGAACACAAGGGGTACTACTTTTGAGGGGGATTTGTGTGGAGATTGGGGGAAGGTAGGGATCACCTTCAGCAGAAGCCAAATTGGAGTAAAGATCAACAATATTGGGACAATTGTTGTAACACTGTGCTGAGCAAAGTTTGGCAATGAATTTAGAATCAAGAAGGGAGTCTGAAGACAGGCCAAGAGATTGCCTGTCAACACCACATGCACCAATGCATTCATCTGTCTCTATATATTCCTGCATTTTATTAGTTGCAAACACTTCTGAAGTTTGGCATTCCATTTCCAGATTTCCTTCGCTAGAAACGTGACTCTCCAGCAAACACCTCTTTCCACTGCTTGCTATTGAGAACGTACACATTTCCTCTGGTAATTCCTCGCATATCAAATCACCTGAAAAATCAACAAAAGGCAATATTAAAAGAGGTTATATAACTTAAAACCCTGAAGTGATTATTAAGAATGTAAAAGAAAGCAGGGTTTCTATTTATTTTTGAGGTTAATTACCAAGAACTCCTTGGAGGAAGAGGCATAAAGCAAGGAAGAGAGTAGTGAAGTTCATATTGATTTCCAAGAATATTCTGCAAGATTTTGTTGCTTGGAGATTTGATGAAGGAAGAGTGAGTGTGTTTGTATGAGGAGAATTATGGAAATGAGAGTTTATTATATAGAGAAGAGTTTATCAAATCTATTGGAAAGGGAGGAGTTCCAGGACAATTATTGTTTCCCAAAATTGTCTGGGGCGGATGTCGGTCAAAATAAATCCTTTTTTTTTCTTTTTCTATATTGGATCTACTAGTCAACATGCACTTGTTTGGGTTACAAGAATTAATATATTGATTTACATTAATCCTACACTCGTCTCTACAAATTGTTTGCCGTAATGAGAAGAATTATTCTAGGTAATTAAAACACTACAAAAAATTTGGAATTAACTACGAATTTCGTCGCTAAATCGCTCGTAGCTAATATAATTTATTGATATATAATATGTCGCTAAACATGATTAGAGGAGAATTTTTCTGTTTAGCTACAGATTTGTCCGTCGCTAATTCTTATTTTTTTTAGTAAATTCATTTTCTTAACCTGGTAAACTGCGAATATACACGTTTCAAGGTAATTAGTTCCTGTCATGTAATGATATCATCACTAAATTGTTTTGTTCGCACAGTTCAGGTAGTGTGATATTAAAGCCTCGAACGAAAATTGTTTTTACTATTAAAACCTTGCATGAAAATTGTGGCACGAATCTTGCTGGTAGTTTGTCTCTTTGTCTATGCAAAGTACAAAGAGAGGAGCTAGATTATACATTTGGTTCAAGAAAAGCAAACTGTAGCACGATCCTTGGTGGCAGTTTGTTTTTGTCTAGGTGGAGTTTTAACAGGAGACAGCTTACGTTTGCCTATATACACAAACAGACAAGTTCCAAGTTTTTCTCTTCTAATTTTAGTAAGTTTTTCTCTTTTGTTGTTTATATTGCTGAAGATAATGAGCACCTTTCGTCATTTCAAGTACAGCCAATATTTAGGTTGATGAGCGTTGCGCAGGGGAATTTGGTATTTTATGTGTGGTGGACTGTACGAATTCATTTCACATGTATTTTGTTTGGGTGAGGGTTAGGAAGAAATGACAAGCCAAGCATTACGACTACAAGAGAGAAGCAAAACTCCATAGACAGATAACTAGATGAATATTAGGATCGGAGGAGGAGTGGGACGACAAATTAAATAGTACTCGTAGTATATATGCACAGAAGAACAAGTTTGAAATGTCAGATTACACTTAACAGGTTAAAACAAGATAAGAAGGAATATGCACGTAACACAATGTCCTTAAAGTTTGTCATTTGTCATTTGTCATGTGATGATCTTCATTCTTCCAATGATTCAGAAGGTTGCTTTAACCTTATATTAGCTACACTGTCGAGCTTAACAAATGAGGTATATACAAATAATGCATCACCTATACCGCATTCCCCAAGGATGAAAACTTTTAACATCTGATCCTAGAAATTATATGCATTTTAATTATGAATATAAAAGTGAAAATGTCAAAACTAGGGGCGTTAATGGAGCTAAGGGATAAGTCACATTTGTTAGTCAGACTAGAAGTGTTTTTGTGCATGGGCAGAAAGGGAAGAAGATTGCAAGTAATCGATGAAATTAAAATAGTTTATGTTTGACTAGAAAATATAGAACTTGGTTCAACTAATTAAATTTATATAAATAAGGGTTAATCTTAGTTAACGATAATATTCTAAAGATGAAATTTTAAGAAGTGCAATAAATAATACGTAGATATACTTCAATAGCAACGGTGGCACACAATCAATATTTAAGAAGTCAAAGGAAGTAATGTAGCATTAAATAGTGATGAATAGCAATAAATGACATTTATCTAAATAGACCGAATGAGTCATCCAAGAAAGGATGAAATCAGTGAATGTTCTTCCTGACAATGATGAGTGATGGATAAGCCTTTGAATATCTGAGTTATTCTCGGATCTAGTGAAAAAGTGTAGATAAGAATCTTAGTGAAAAGATTGTGTTTGTATCCTTGCAACGAGATCTGATTCTCTCTTTTAAAGTTAAAGAGTATTTTACAAATGAATATCACATGTCCCCTATCATTGTGTCTCTTTCTATTTATAGAGAACATGTTCCTAAACAAGTGCAGAGAATATCTACTAGAATATTCTCTTTTATGTCTTATCTTGAAACTAGCCGTTATAACTCTTTCAAGGGTACTCGACCTCGGCCTTGATCCATGATGACTTCCTCGGCTTCATCCCTTGCTGACTCTTCGACCACGGCCTTCACTGTTTCTTAGATTACTTCGACAAGCGATAGCTGGGAACGTTCCACCAATACGAATATGAACAAAACATGTGCATCCAAACACTCGCAAATACCTATTATAGTACTGCCCCAGTAAAAAGTTCGTGAGGTGCCGCTGCGGTTTTGACTTAAGTATTCTAAAGATAGATTTTGACCCATACAGTTTATATACTTGGTTCTCCGCCTCATTGAAAGAGGCGGGCGTATGATATTGATAGGGTAATAATCTAATTATGTCATATACTTATAGTTTATATCGGTCTCTACCTTTTATTCTCTAACTTGGCAGTACAGCATTTCATGGAAGGTGCAGTAAGGGAAAAACAAAAAGATATTATTAAAGTTTGGTAATTAGAGTTCAACTTGTCCATTTTAAAATCTAATATATGTATCTATTCTTGTGCACTGACTTTATGACCCCTCTTGTCGAGATGTGTCAACTTAAGAATTTCTACATTATTTCATATCTGATTCTACTTCGCAATTTGATTAAGGAAGTCACTTTATTTGTGTCGGGAGTTATACAAGTATGAAACTTCGGTTAGTTTAGAAAAGAAAAGTACTCGTTACGTATTCTGATTTACCAGTTAAAGTTTAGTGCCCTAAACACAAAATACGATTAATCGACTGTAACGGTTATAATAAAAGATGATACTGATATGGTTTTCGAGCTGTTAATAACCAATCTCCAATCATTTTGTATTACCTGGGAGCTGGTACTAGTAATTGTAATTGGGCTAAACAAGTGGTATGCTGCTTGGTTTAAGAAAATGTCTTGTAATGGGGTATAAAAAGATTATCTGAAACTGATCCAATGGTGCTACCTCCTTGTGTTTCGCAACAAGGTGACCCATGGAGGATGCTTCAGAAGTGAAAGCTATTAGACAAATCATTGAAGAAAAGGGGTAGTTGCCTAGCATTAATATAGTGAAGCTAATAAATTAACACCTCCTTTTCGGGGAAAAAAAGAAAAAAGAAAATAGCACCTCCTTAGCATGCTTATCAGCAATACATGGAGATTACTAGTTTTTGGCAACTACAGAGAAAAATTAGAGGCCTTCTACAACTGGACAAATGGCAAATGATATCTATCAAAATTTGAAAATTGAAAGCAACAGAAATTTGTTTTGATCCTCTTTGAAATAGGAAACCACATAAGGGTAGACTGCTTACATCACTAGCACTTAATCAACAATCAGAAGAGAGAGTGACGAACTCTAGCTGGCTATCAGTTCTTTTATAGATGCAATGCGTTAACCAGATGTCCGAAATGCCTACTATCCTTGCACATAAATGACGTTAGGAAAAATTCTGAAATCAAGCAAGCAGGCGAAGAGGAAATTCAATTAAAGGTCCCCGTGAAAGTGCCTTTCTCACTATGAAGAGTCAAAAGAGCTCCACTCTGCCTGAACGGCTCAACCTAAAAAACAGGCAGATTTAACAGCAGTACTTTAAGATTGATCACTTAATTACATTTGGTAAAACATTAAAGGGAGAATTTGTACAATTCGAATCATGCTTTTTAAGCCTATAGTCGTGTCTCCTATGCTGAGACTTGTTCAGCTATTAAATTAATTGAGCTGAAATAAAAGTTGGTTCCCTCACAGAAGATCAACAATGATCAGCCAAAACACTTTTCGATCATTTAATATTACAATGTCTAATTTAACCATACAAAAACTAAAAGCACAACGGCATTTGACAGAATACATAATGGTGAAACTAACAAAAATTTCAAAACTTATACAAACTTCCCACACTGGCAACCGCAGAAATGAGCAGCATGGTATTGAGCTTCACCTGAAGGCTGGATAAGATCAACATACTCACAATAGGCAAAATGATGCAAGTTCTGAATACAATGAGAACACTGATACTTGAAGATATGTTGCTACAAACATTTGCCTGAACCAGTGGGAAACTTAGGCTAACTTTTAGACTTCAAATAATCAATCATAACTTGCATTCAGGAATTTGAGTAATTCATTTCGTTTACTCTCTGCTTCCTTGTCCTCCTTTGTCTTGTCTAGCTTCAAGAGAATCTACAAATAAGAACATATAATCACTAAAATTCCATAGCTTTAACCCCACCCATGTTTCAAGGCGATTAGTAGGCAAGCTAAAGGCAGCAAACACTAGTAGCATAGTTTCCTGACAATCCAAGAAAGATGAACGGACCTTTTTGCCAGAGACAGCACTCCGACGGACGCCATCATCCTTATCACGCCCCAAAAACTGGATATGGTAGATTATGTATATGAAAAAAAGAAAGAAAGGAGAACAACTCTAAAAGAGAAACTAAAATTAAGTATGAGAAAATAAAACCTTAGAAAGCTGCACAGGACCACTACTTTCCTCCTGCTGCTTCTGCATATGGCTCCCATTGCCATCATAACCCACAAACAAGTAACAAAACCAGGCAAACCATCAAGCACCCAGCCACCATGTCACAGACCACAGCTCCAAATTCGAAGAGCCATAAAAATAAACAGGCAGAAAAGTACTATCAGCATCTCATACATTAATAAGCACAGTAACTGCCAACAGCTGAAATCTAAAAAGTTTATATGGACTATGTAACAGTGTGCTTAAAGTTTGTATGCTCGGAGCAATAGCGTACAACATTAAAAAGGCCAGCTCGGTGCACTAAGCTCTCGCTATGCGCGAGGTCCGGAGAAGGGCCGGACCACAAGGGTCTATTGTACGCAGCCTTACCCTGCATTTATGCAAGAGGTTGTCTCCACGGCTCGAACCCATGACCTCCTGGTCACATGGCAGCAACTTTACCGGTTATGCCAAGGCTCCCCTTCTAATAGTG